CAAAGCCTTGCTTTAACCCTACAAGATTCATATACAACATCCTGCAACTCTTTGCAAGTCTTTCCAGTAATGCCATGTCTAAAAACCTCCCAGGCACAGCATCCCCACCACTAATGTGGGTGAAGTCTTTGAAAACAAACCCAACCATCCCAAAGAAAATATGACACATCTATTATATGAAGAAAAAACTTTACTGAACTGAAAATGAATAACTATACAAAATTGACAATATTAAAATAAAATGAATACAAAATGTAACAAAAATAAACAAAAGGTCCAGACTCTTGTCCTTCTTAGCAAAAATAACTATATAACTATATACAAAAACATTCACATGCACACATACAATATAAAAATAAAAATGTAAAAATAAAAAAAAAATTTTTTTTCAGTATCCACTGGTGTGTGACTCTTCACTGGCCTGTGGGCTTGTCCTCGGTGAGTTCTGCCCATGAAAGTTTTCTGTGAGGAGTGAGGAAAGGGAAGAACAAGAAGAGGAAGGGGGCTTGGTGCACAGTAGAAACCCCCAGATTTTTGCCACCCCCCCCCACTCACTCATTTTCACACACACACGAACACATGCATGTGTGCACAAAGTTGGTGGGACATATTACCTAAATATCACCTGGGACACTGCATACCCCGGGTGTCGGGTCTGGCAGGCAGCATCCTGCTGCCCTTGGACTCATGGCTCTGGAATGGAATGTGATGAAGTTCAGGCTGCAATATTGAAGGAAGTCGTGTAAACACTCACTCCCTTCCCTCCAAAGTTTAAAACAACTTGCAGAAAACTTACCATTACACTGCTGCTGCTGCTGCTGCTGCTGCTGCCAGTAGGAGCCATGGCCACTGGAGTGATAGAAAATGCGGGGGGGGGGGCAGTGCAGGGCTCACAGCAGGGGGAGTGTACTGAGAGCAGAGCTGGAGGTCAGGAGAGTACATGGGTGGGGGGGAGGATATAGACAATAGGTGGCGGGGGGGACAACAGTTAAGAGGGGGTAGAAAATGATATTATTGCTCTCCCCCATTCTTTCAATCTTTTAAATAAAATAAGAATATTTGGTTGGTCTGGTCAACCAAGCAGAAACGTCTTGACCTGACTACGGAGGAGGGAGGAGTGAAAAGGGTAAAAAAGAACACACAGCGCCATCTACTGGCTAGAGGCTGGAACGCAGTGGCCCTTCGTGGCAAACGGGATTAATTACAAGTCTTTGGAGTCTCTGGCTATTTGCACGAACAAAATCCACAGTTGGAGCTGTGTAGCAGGAAAGCAACACAAATTAAAACATCTTTGAGTAGTGTTAGTTTTAAGTGCTAAATGGACTTTAAAGCAGTGGGAAATCCTGGGTCATGCAAACACAAATGCAATTGCATCGATGTAAATGGGAAATTTTGTTTCATCTACACACAACCTTAGATGTTAGGAAGAATGTTTTCACTGGGAGGGTAGTAAAACACTGGAACAGCTTACCCACAGAGGTGGTGGAATCTCCATCCTTGGAGCTTTTTAAGACCTGGCTAGACAAAGCTTTGGCTGGGATGATTTAGCTGGGGCTAGTGCTGCTTTGAGCAGGGGGCTGGACTAGATGACTTCCTGAGGTCTCTTCCATCCCTAATTTTCTATGATTCTATGTTATATCTTTTCAGGAACTTGAGCAGGGTGGAATAGGATCCCACTTAGGTGCCTAAGTCCAATTAGACATAGCTTACAGACAGCATGCATCTATGCAATAAGATTCTATATAACAATGGATGATAAAAAGATTTTTGAAGAAACAGAGTAACTAGATCGTAATACCCCCAGGTTATTTCTCCTGTCTGTCCATTCCCAACCTTGAAGATGGACATAAAGAATTAATTTAGAAGCTCTCTACCTTGTTCTTATGGGCCCTTCCCTTCCCAGCTGTTGAAAACAAAGTAGAGACAATTGGAGGTGTTTGATTCTGCAAACATTTGTTTCTGAAGTGCTGAATAAGTTAACTTTCTGTTAACACATCTCTCCCTTAGGGAGTGGGCCAGAGAGAATATCCATCATGAGAATAAAGTAACCAAACATCCCCTGACTTCACTTCCAAACCAGAATATCAACCAGCATTTTTAACAGTCTCAACGGAGGCAGAGTTTCCATCCCTTTTCTGAAAGACCTTCTCAGCTTTGGAGCTGGCTCCTTCTCAGAGCTGAGGCAATAAGCAAGGCAGCATATCTGTTGCTTATGCAACAGTCTGAACCTGGACCTCAGACTCCAAAACTGTTAATCTGGCACTTCTTCCAACATTAAATTCACTCATCTCCAAAGAGGTGAAATATTTCTCAGTGTCTTATACAGAACACATGAGAATTAACCAGTTTATGAGAAAGACCTAGTCTTTTTTCCACCTTAAAAAAAAAGATAAGGGGAAGGCTTTCCTCTGCAAATCCTCACAGATGTATTTCCTAAATGGAGCCAGGTGTTTTATTCTTTCAGAAAATCAAAAGTGGGAGACAACTGTAGACATTTGCTGTCACTTCTGCATATCTTAGTGTCCTAGGCTTGTCAGACCTGTGCAGTTTGATAGGTAGCGTTTGGAAAAGTGAAGGAAAAGGCAGCTTCTTTCTTTAGGAGCAAGTTTGGTTCCTTCTACTGCAGTGCCTCTGACTCTTCCCCCCCTCCCTTTCTCCCACATGCCATAACAAACTTCCCTCTTTACAGGCAACTACAGAATGCTTTGAAAAGATATGATTTGTCTGGGATCAATGAACTGAACCAAAGTTCTGTTAATTAGAGCTACAAATAAAAAAAGGCAGAGGATGAGGTGTGTGGCAGACCACTAGGGGGTGCCCCTGCATTGAGACACCCACCCCACTGCACCCAACCACCTTCAAGGCTCTGAGTGCCTCCCTAGGCATGCCTCAGATCTGGCCGACCTCCTTCCTGGAGCATACCTGCTAGCCTGGGGGTAACGCTGCCACCTCCCAGAGTCTGAACTGATCCTGGACCTGTGGCCTCTGGGAAACACAGACCTAGTAGTTCTTGAGGGTACTTGACCCCCTACAAGAAGTTGGGGGGCTTCCCTCAGTCTGAAGCACAAATACTGGTCTCCTTTAGTCAGCTGAACCAAGGGGACCCAAGGCATAAATTAGATCCTCTCCTAATAAGTCTCCCATTGGGAGTGAAGCTGGGGTTACTTAAGGTCAAGTGCCCTGGGGTTGATCAGGGTCACCAGGGCTTGGGGTTACTTAGGGCCAATGTACCCCAGGGTTACTCGGGGTCACCTGATGCCAGGGTGGAAGCAAGGGGAAAGGCACAATGGCAAGGAAGAGACAACCAGGAAGAGGCAGAAATCTGGGAAATGGGGGCTGGAAACTGAGAGGCAGAAAGCTGGGAGATTGGAAGCAGATAATAGGTGGCAAGGAGGAGGCAGGCAGGAAACAGGGAGGCAGAAAGCTGGGAGATTGGGGCTGGAAACTGGGAGGCAGAAAGCTGGGAGACTGGGGCTGGAAACTGGGAGGCAGAAAGCTGGGAGATTGGGGCTGGAAACTGGGAGGCAGAAAGCTGGGAGATAGCCAGGAAATCGAGGAGGAGGGTTTGGAGGTAAATAAGACAAAAACCTGACTCAGAATTTCAAAATAACAGGTTTATTAAATAGACAATACATTACACAGCCCCATGAAGTTAGTGGTTCCTACACCGCCTCCCCACACACCCACACCCACACCCACACAATGGTAGCAGGAGAGAAAAAGGCTTGGTGGAGGGATTGAAGTCAGGCAGGACACTGCCTGCCAGACCCGACACCCAGGATGCAGCATTCCGCGTCATATTTAGGTAATATGGCCTACTGACCTTGTGTGTCTGTGTGTGTGTGTGGGGGGAAGCACGAGGGGGGCAAAATTCCAGTTTTTTGACTGTGCACCAAACCCCTCTCCTCTTCCTCTTCTTACTTTTTCCCCCTCCTCGCAGAAAACTTTCATGGGTGAAACTCACTGGGGACGGCAACCAGCCCAGAGCCCAGTAATGAATGAAGGTAGTTAAGAGGAGAGAAGAATGAAATATCTTCAAACTTTTTTTTATTTTTGTACATTTTGTATATATTTGATATTGTTAAGGTTATATAGTTATTGTTAAAGCTGCAGCGTTTTCAATAAAGTGTTTCATTTTTGCTTTCTATATATGTGTCATGGGCTTTTTGGGGGTGGGTGGGTGGTTGGGTTGGTTTTCAGAGACCATGCCAACCTCAGCATGGGGATGTTGTGCTTGGGTATTTTTTATGGAGTCATGGCATTACTGCAAAGAGTTGCGAAGAGTTGCAGGGTGGACTGTTGTCAGAGGGAAGGAGGTTGAATGTTTGTTAAGTGTTAGTTAGGGTGCAGTGCAGCCAGCATGTCTTGTAAGAAAAAAGACTAAACAACCCCACCTACCCCCAGTGGCAAACAGGCAATCTGCAAAACTTCTCCATACATGGACCTCCCAGGTCTTTTAACCTTTAGCCTTTAGCTTTTAGCAAGTCTTTAAAGACTTTAGTAAGTCTTTAATGCATTATAATTCATTTTATATGCATGGTCACTGAGGGGGGTGGGGTGGGAGTTGGGGTTAATGCCTGCTGCCACAGCTCCAAAACAGTTTCTGCTTTTTTTCTGAGTTTTTCCTTTGCAGGCTGTACTGTTATGGGAGGTGTGATGCAAAAATGATTTTTTTCAATGCTTTCTTTGCAATGTAATGTTTTCTTTACAAAAACCTGCATGCAGCACCTTTCAGAGCTGGGTTTGCAGACCACTGCTCACCGTCGGTACAACCCACTCTTCCCCTGGAGAGAGCTCATCGGATTTTGTTCAAGGTTGCTTTGTCCTCCCTTGCCGTATCTCTCCTCTCAGCCTTCTCAAAGGACGGGGAGAAGGTGAGAGGGGAATGAGGAGCAGCGCTCCCAAGGCAGCCCAGGGTAATCTGTTCAGCTGCCTCTAGGCCTCTGCAGAATCAAGTGTATTAAAAGAAAGCATCATTGTGGGAGAACTTCTTTTTCATCTAAATTTAAGACATTTGTAATACCTCCTACACTAGGTATTGGCATGTCCTCATCAGATGGGTCTCAGCTACCTCAGGGAGTCACCCTAGCAGGGGGCTGCTAGTCAGCCAAGGCCAGGGTTTCAAAAAGCACTCTGCTTCCTATAGAGAGGCCGGAAGTGTTATGCAGCAGATGGCTATCCCCAGACTTATTATTGAGGTGCCTGGAGGGGAGGCCACCCAATCTAAAATATTGATTGAGTCCAGCCTGGGAAGCTACTGCACTCCTGTCCCTGGACAGCTGCACACCACTCCCCAGTTCCCAGATCCATGCCCTGAAACCAAGCAGGAGCAAGTCCAAATCAGAATTTTTTGTTCCTCATCTTTATTTTTTCACAATAAATTTAATTGCAATCAATTTGATTGAGACATCACAATAAAATTAAAACACTATAAATGTTGTTTTTTACTCAACAATGCTGTTAGTAGTCAAGTGGTGAATACATTTTTTTACAGTACAGCCATTGCCAGCAAATGCAATACAATAGGATAAAACACAAATTTACAATATGCTCCCAAGCTCCCTTGAGTAATCCCTTGATATGATAGGGATGCATGGTGGGATGGTGAGAGGGAGGCAGGCTGGCAGGCAGCCTGGTTACTATCCCTTCCTGGTTACTGGCCATGTCCCAGCAATGTTTTATTTTTGGTCTATATGGCATGCATGTCCAATGGAGGTGGGGGGTGCTTTTTGGAAAGCTGATGACCATGCAACTTTTATGGAGTCATGGCGTTACTGGAAAGTTGCAGGGTGGACTGTCATCGGATGGAGGCAGGTAGAATGTTTGGCCAATGCTAGTGTGCAGCCAGCATTTCTTGAAAGAAAAGACTAAACAAATCCACCCAGAAAGCTTATTTAGGGAAGGAGGGGCCCCCTCAGGTGGAGGCCCCCAGGCATGGTCCCGGAGGGGCCTCCTCAGGTGGAGATGTGTGGCCTGACTCCATTGGCTGGCTGAGTCAGGCCAGGTTACTCTCTGTTACACTGTAACTTTGGAATCTTTGCTGGCCACAAACCTGAGGGAGGGAGGGAGGGGCCCTCTCAGGTGTGGGGGGGACTTTCTACTTTCTGTTATCCTTATTTATTTAAACTATGTTCTGTTATTTAAACTACTTTCAGTTATCTATATTTATTTAAAATCTTCCTTCCTTCCACAAATCAGAGAAGAAACTCAAGGAGACAGAAGGTTCAAGGAGACAGAGTGGTGGGTGGGTATCAGAAGACATGTACCCCAGTCTGAATTTTCTGGGACATGGCCAGTAACCAGGAGGCGAGCGAGAAGACTATTGAAGGCAGAGAGGGTTTTCCCCAGCAAGAAGCTTTCCCCCAGTCAGAAGACATGTACCCCAGTCCAAATTTGCTGGGACATGGCCAGTAACAAGGAGGAGGGCAAGAAGACTACATGAAATGGGCCTGCAGAAGTTGGCAAATTGAGATTATGCTCAGGACAAAGCCAGAGGTCTCAGCTTCTGCCACTACAGTGTTCACAGCTCCTTTGTGGCCAACAATGATTTGAAAGTGCAAGGGTGCAACGGAGAGGTGTAAGGCAGAGGTGGGCAAGTGGAAGGAAGAGCCCAGAGGCCTGGGCCTATTACCCAGACCCAGGGAGGGAATTTGCCAGAGGTCTTGGCCAGCAACCAAGAAGAAAGCCTTCACATTTGTGGCCAGTAACAATCCTCTCATTACAATTCCATAATACACTCATTAGCAAACAGAGCCAGCAACCAGGAGGGCTAGAATAATATAAAATGGATCTGCAGAACTTAGTTTCATAGTTAATAGGGTCAGATGGGACCTGAGCAGATCATCAAGTCTGACCCCCTGCCACGGCAGGAAAGGTCAAGGTGGAGTCTTGCTTCTGCAACTCTTACCATATTTGAGCTGTTGCTTGGGCCAAAGCCTGCAAAGAAAGCCTCCACAATTCAAGTAGTACACACAAGAGAAGCCTCAGCAGTACTTGTGGCCAGCAACCAGGAGGAGGAAGTAATATAAGTTCAGTAACAGTAGTATGTAAAGCAAAAGAGAGTATATCTCTTCTCCACAGGAATAGAGGGACCTAGGGAGGAGATTGAACTAAGAGGTGGGCATTTCCTTCCCCCCATGGGTAAAGAGGAAGGGAGGGCACACAGTCACTTGCCTTACACTCAGTATCTGCTTTCTAGGCCTGTGTGAAGTGGCTAATATTTTCTTTGGATTCAGATTGGGCCAATTTTGGGGACAGTGATTTGATTCAGTGATTCAGATCACTGGCCCAGTCTATGCGGCCAAATCAGATTTGGAGATTTGGCCACTGCCAAATTGGCTGAATCTCCAAATCAGCCCCATTCTCTGCCCGCCCTCAATGGCTGCCCTGCCTGCCCTCCCCGCTCCCGGCTCTTAAAAAAAAAAAAAAAAAAAAGAAAAAAAAAAGAAATAAAAGCCCCTACTCACCGGCTGCTCCCAGGCAGGGAAGCAATCTCCACTGCGCCCCACAGGACCCCGCTGCCCTCCACTTTCAAGAGCCCCCACACCCCTCACCTACTCTCCCAGCCCCCGCCATGGCTGCCCTGCTCATCCCAGCTCCCGGCCCTTTTAAAAAAAAATCCCCGCTGCCCCTAGCTGCAT